GTCCTCCTCAGCACAGACCCTTCACGGGTGTCAGGCTGGGGGGCGATCAGGTCTTTCCCTTCCCACAAGGCCATATTTCAGTCTATCACATGGGGAGAAACCTTGGACAATACCTAGCTTTCCTAGGCAGAGCTCCCTGCGACCTTCCACGGTATATGTGTCCCTGGTTACTTGAGATTAAGAGAATGGTGATGACTTTTCACAAGCATACTGCCTTCAGGCACTTGTTTAACAAAGCACACCCTGCACGGCCACAAATCCATTAAACCTTGAGTCACCACAGCACATGTCTCTTGCAAGGACAGGGTTGGGGGTAGGGTCACAGATTAACAGCATCTCAAATACAGAACAAAATGGAGTCTCGTATGTCTACTTCTTTCTATATAGACACAGTCTGATCTCTCTTTCTTCTTCCCACATTCTAGGAAATATTACTGTGTCTTATTTAAATTCTCCATTCTACCTCTTGTTCCTATAAGGCATTCAGCAAATCTGTTTGTGTAATTAAATTTTTGTACTATTATTACTTTGTGGACTAATTTTACATCACGGCTTAACTTATTTAATATTTCCATACTGGTTTTACCATCTTCATTAGGAAAACCATCGGGTAACTGTCATGTGCATCCGAGTGAAGAGACCACCAAACAGGCTTTGTGTGAGCAATAAAGCTTTTTTAATCACCTGGGTGCAGGTGGGCTGAGTCCAAAAAGAGAGTCAGCGAAGGGAGATAAGGGTGGGGCCATTTTATAGGATTTGGGTAAGTAAAGGAAAATTACAGTCAAAGGGAGTTTGTTCTCTGGCGGGCAGGAGTGGGGGTCACAAGGTGCTCAGTGGGGGAGATTTTTGATCCAGAATGAGCCAGGAAAAGGAATTTCATAAGATAATATCATCGCTTAAGGCAAGGACCAGCCATTTTCACTTCTTTTGTGGTGGAATGTCATCGGTTAAGGCGAGGCAGGGCATTTGCACTTCTTTTGTGATTCTTCAGTTACTTCAGGCCATCAGGGTGTATACGTGCAAGTCACACGGGATGCGATGGCTTGGCTTGGGCTCAGAGGCCTGACAGTAACTATATCCTATAGAGTTTGTAATCTGAATACCATCTCCTTATCTTTCATTGATTATCCTCTTAATATCAAGTCCTGACCTACTTTTATCAAAGGCATTGTCTATAGCTATGTATTAAAAATTTCTACCATTAGAATATAAGTTTTATCCTTCTTTGTAAATCGTTTTTCTACTTCATTATTCAAGGATAAAATAGGTGTGTTTACACAAATCTCAGCATATGCTTTTGAATGTTTTTGGAATAATCTTAACAGAAATTCTATAACATTTAACGAACACTTAAATACCAAGGCATCAATCCATCTACCTGCCCACAGGCTTGAAAATCATTTTCTCCAATACCTTTTGCATAAGATGCATCTTACAGGACCTACTCACAGAAGGTAAAAAGGGAGAGGAAGTTCTTACTCTGCTCTCTGAAAATATCACCTCCCCTCCAAAATAAAGAACTCTCAGTTGCTCATAAATAAGTATTCAGAGGAAGACAGCGAGTTAGTCAAAATAGGCTAGACTATTATTCAGTGACAATTCCAAATTTTCAGAGTGGCGTTTTGACGGATTAAGTATGGCTGCAATTTGTTTTGCTGCTTCTTATTAAAGGATAGTCTAATTCCTCTCCCCTTTAGTCTAGGGTGTCTTCAGTGCCTTGACTAATAGAATGAGGCTGAAATGACACTCTTAGACTCCTGAAGCAATGCAGTTTCCACCTTTTGGGAACTCTTGCTCTAGAGAAATTAAGTATGACAGCCCTCACACTGCCATGCTGAAGGAAGCCGAAGCTAGCCACATGGAGAGACTGCATGGATAACAGCAATGCCTGTGCAGTCCCCAGCTGGTCTAGCCAGCCTACACTAAGTGCCAGATGTGGGTGCAAGGGACTTCAACTAATTCTGACCTCGGTCTCCAGGGGTCTGCCACCATATAAAAGAGTATAAGCAAATATAGCCCAGCTGAACTCTTTAACCCCCCAAACCATGAGAGGTGAGTTTTGGGATGGTTGATCAGGCAGCAATAGTTAACCTGAATAGTCTCTCATATTGAAAATGTATTTCTTGCCTATGTGAGTCCTTTTAAGTAACCAGGGAACCACCTAGTGCTGCTATTCTCCATTAGGCAGCTCAGCAATTCAGGCTACTCTTGTCTTGTAGACTCTTAGATCATCATCTTTTCTCTAAAATTTCCACAGCAGGAGAACAGAACACTGGGACATTTTGTGCCGGTGATTAAACACTTCGGCCTGGAAATGATACATGCCCACCCCTTCCATTTGTAGCCCATTGGCCAATTCATATCAATATGCCTAACTTCTGAGGGGTGCAGGAGCATCCTCCTCTGTGGGGTAGGGAAAGAGAGGGGGACTAGGTAGGATCTACCTCACTCTTCCCCTCTCTCCTGCTAATGATGTTACCTCATCAGAGTCCTGGGAATTCCTTTGCCTATTAGGAACCAAATATTTTTGTGTAACCATAGCTGCCCTGCAGTGCCACCATTACTCTGGGGAAAAAGCCCTTTCTCCTAGTACCAGGAACCAATCTTCTTAAAACTGTAAATCCATGTTTTAAGCATAAACATGGATCACATACTGACCGAGGATACCATTACAGCGTAACAAATTACCCCAAATCTTAGTAGCTTGATATTATATAACAACATTGATTACCTCACAGTTTCTGTGGGTGGAGGTCCCAGCTAAGCTAAGCTTTGCTGCCTGGTTCTGGGTCATTTATAAGGCTTACCCATCTCAAGAGCACTGCTGACAGATTTGCTTCTAGGTCACTCATGTGGTTGTTTGAAGATCCAGCTCTTTGAGGGCTGTTGGGCTGAGGTCTCAGTTGCTTAGGCTGGAGACCTCCCTTGGTTCCTTGTCACATGGAGCTCTCTACACAGAGTCGCAGAGTGAGTGTGCGAGAGGAAAAGAAGATTCCAGCAAAATGGAAGTCTCAGGTTTTTGTAACCTTATCACAGAAGTGATAACCCATCAGTTTTCCCATCTCCTGTTAGAAGTGAGTCACCAGGCCCAACCCCCACTCAGGAGGAAAGGATCACACAAGGGGCCTGAATACCAGGAGGGAGAGATCTCGGGAGCAGTGTCAGAAGCTGCCTATCCCAAATACACCTATGGGATGGGTATTCTGCAATATAGGGGACACAAAGATATATAAGGTAAAGCCCTTGACCTTGAACAGTTTTTAGTAGTGGTTGGAGGAGAGAGGATAGAGGGTGATAACTACATACAATTGCATTATACTATAAAAGGTATGTGATGAAGTTATTGTATTAGTCCATTTTCATGCTGCTGATAAAGACACACCCGAGACCGTGTAATTTATACAGGAAAAAGCGTTTATTGGACTCACAGTTCCACATGGCTGGGGAAGCCTCACAATCAGGGTGGAAGGCAAGGAGGAGCAAGTCATGTCTTACATGGATGGCAGCAGGCCAAGAGAGAGAGAGCTTGTGCAGGGAAATTCCCATTTTTAAAACCATCAGATCTCATGAGACTTATTCACTATCACGAGAACAGCATGGGAAAGACCTGCACCCATGATTCAATTGTCTCCCATGGGGTCCCTCCCACAACACGTGGGAATTAGGGGAGCTACAAGATGAGATTTGGATGGGGACACAGAGCCAAACCATATCAGTTATACAGAAGAGCAATTGGATCTGAGAAGAGACAGCAGCTCATTCTGCATGAGCTATCAGAGGTACAATGTGGGCTACATGACAGAGACTGAATGATTCACTGGACAACTGGAGAAAAGTGTTCTAAGCAGAATGAAGGAGCAAGGAGACACTGAAGTACACAATGTGCTTTGGGAATGGGGAGTAGCTTTGTGTTATTAGGACACAGGGAATTGTGGGAATAGTGGAATGTAAAGTGGGCAAAGCTGAAGCTGGGCTGTGAAAGGCAGTGTGTATCACGCTAAGTGAAGTTGACTTTAGCATAGGAAAAATAGACATTACAGCATATCGTTGCCTCCAAATATTAATGTTAGTGTTGGCAATATTGCTGTGGCAAAAACCCCAATTATGTTTGCACCAACCTAATTTATAAGCTTTTTGAGTCAGACTATGTGCTAGGCATTATTCTTATCTCATATAATCTTCACAGCCACCTTTTGGAGCAGGTTCTATTACTACTTGCATTTTAACAGAACTTTGGTGTTAACTAGTTTTAGCCCCAAATCACATGGCTAGGAAGTGTCAGGGCTGAGATGCCAATCATGGTCTGACAGCAACAGCTCCCTTAACCTCGGTCCGTGACTCCTCACCGCAAGGTCAGTCCCACACTTTCTTGCTACTTTCTTCCTACCATCCTTCGTCTGAAGGCCAAAAAATGAAATCTTTGAACCCACAGTTTTTGTTAAAGATAGGAAGTGCTTCGGTAATGACTGTCTTTTATGCTGCAGATGCTCTCTCTTTCCTTTTAGCTTTTCATTTTGTAAATTTTCCAACAAATGCACAAGTAGGTAAAATAGCAAAATGAACTTAGTTAGCTTCAACACTGACTGATGTTGCACCACTTTGCTTTCACCTATCTTCTTTCCATTCCCTACATTTTATTTCTGGGGTATTGTAAAACAAATTCTAGACATCATGTTACTTCATCCATAAATATCTCATTATCTATAACCAATAAAGCCTTTTAAAAATATAGTTATCACATCTTTATCACCTTCAGCAAAATTAATAGTAATTCCTTAATATCAGATGCTATTTTTAAGAATGTTTTGAAACCAATTACATATTCTATACAAAAAAGTTGCACTGAAAATGATAGAATGATAGAATTCCTGTTTATGAGTCACTTCTTTTTACAAGCACAGTAAAATGTTTTCCACCGAGTTTATGGGATTGATGTGTATGTACTTCATAACAGTGAGTCTTAGTAGCATTCACTGCAAAGACATTTTCTTAAATTCCAGTAGTTTGTAAACCCTTGAGTGTTTTATTTTAATGATAAGGGTTGGGTCCACATAGTTTTTAGCTAATACTAATTAATGCATAATCCAGGCCAGATCTTCTCTTCAGGCAAAATTAATTTCCCTCTCCTATAAGTACTGATTGAAATTTGCTCTCATGTGCCCTGAAGTACTTTTAGTCTTATTTTTAAAATTTATTTTAGTCTTTGTTTTAAGCCGAGGGCAGAAACCACATCCTTTTCATGATCTATTAACCACATTACCCAGGTTCGTAGTTTGCACAACTAGTAAACACATACAAAGCACCCTTTGAGAAAGATTCCTCATCCTTTAATTGTAATCCAGTCTTACATACTAACGGTGTGGTGGTCCCAAGGTACAGATTCATCTAATGTGATCTGCAAAGAAATTTGGAAATCATTTAGGCTACCCTCATTTTAGATCTGACAAAACTGTAGTCAAGAGAAATGTCAGGTCCATTTTACTGCAGGTGGCAATAGTCTTAACTGACTCATTTTATCGGTTAGTACCCATGTTTTTAAGAGTTTCTATGAAATTAACATTTTTTTTGTAAAAACAAAATGCAATTGCATAGCCTAGTTTCATCAATATCCTCAATTAGTGATGCTTCAATATACACATGCAGAGAGTACTTAAATTTTCCTCTCTCTTCAGCAAGAGATACCACGTCCCTCCATTTTTCATTAAACGTAAGTGTACTTTGCATCCCGTTGCTTTCATGTTTGCTATTATTGAAGAGGGGATGGATTTTAAAATTATTGGCCATGTTTCCCTTTAGAGAAGGACACACGCGCCAACCCTGCCCTTTCTGGAGCCTGGGCAGCAGCGGTGCGTGTTCTAACTTAGGCAACATTGGGTCATCTGTTTATTGTCAGCTTGGCGGTCAGGAAGAAAGGGCGGCGGTTGCTGAGGTAACCGACACCCCAGGCAACTGCAAGTGGAGGCGGGAGGGGGCGTGGCCTCGACGGGCAAGCGACGATAAGAGGTGGCGTCCGCCGCGGCGTCGCGAGCACCGCCTGTCTGCGCTGCCGGGCGTAGGCGGGGTAGCCCCTGCGTCTCCCGCCTCCTTGAAAAACCCGGGCGGGCGGGCGAGCGAGGCTGTGGGCCCGGCCGCTGCCTTTCCCCACACTCCCGGCCGAAGAGCCTCGCTCGGCGCCCAACATGGCGGGTGGGCGCTGCGGCCCGCAGCTAACGGCGCTGCTGGCTGCCTGGGTCGCGGCTGTGGCGGCGACGGCAGGCCCCGAGCAGGCCGCGCTGCCGGCGGAGCAGAGCTGGGTCCAGCCCATGACCGCCTCCAACTGGACGCTGGTGATGGAGGGCGAGTGGATGCTGAAATTGTGAGTGAGCCCGCCCGCCCCGCACGCCGCAGTGTCCTCGCGGGCGTCACCCTCCCAAGCCCGCGCGGCCCGCTTGCGATCCCGCATTGCCGCCTGGGCTCAACCTAAAACCCCGGACCCGCCCTGCCAACAACCTGCAGCGCCGGTGCCGGGCCGCTCGCGATCCTGCACTGCCGCTGAGCTCGACCTGGGGTCCCCGGACCCGCCTTGCCTACGACCTGCGGCGCTGGGGCCGGGCCGCTCGCGCCGCGCATGCGCGTCCAGTCCTCGCGGTGACAGCCGAGGGTGCAGCGCATCCCCTCGCTTTGGGGGACAGTGTTTTCGGGGTGGACTGGGCGGCTTCCCAAAGGGGGAGGAGAAGGGAAGGGAGAAAATCTGCAAGCAAACCGTGTGCTTTTAGATATAGGTATGTATTGGAAGAGAAAGGACATTCAGTGACATCCATGAGCAATATGAATATTTAGCACAGGCTAAGCAAGTTACCTGTTGAAGGAATCGCAGCACGGTGAGGGCAGGCCATTTGTATCGTAGTCTTCCTTTTGAAGACCTTGAGATGTCATTGTGAAAATAAAACATAAATACAGATACCTTTTAAGTTTTACAATAAGATTTCAAATAAATGTTGATATTTATTATAACTTTTAAACGTCGGGCTTTCTGGGTAATATTAATAATTGTGCTAAGGCCGGGCGCGGTGGCTCAAGCCTGTAATCCCAGCACTTTGGGAGGCCGAGGCGGGCGGATCACAAGGTCAGGAGATCGAGACCACAGTGAAACCCCGTCTCTACTAAAAATACAAAAAATTAGCCGGGCGCGGTGGTGGGCGCCTGTAGTCCTAGCTACTCAGGAGGCTGAGGCAGGAGAATGGCGTGAACCCAGGAGGCGGAGCTTGCAGTGAGCCGAGATCGCGCCACTGCACTCCAGCCTGGGCAACAGCGTGAGACTCCGTCTCAAAAAAAAAAAAAAAAATAATAATAATAACAATAATAATTGTGCTTGTGTCATAAAAGAACATACACATTGCCCCTTTTAACAGTAGAAGGTAAATGGTGGATAGTGCCTTTTCTTTAAGGAGATGGGAAACTACAGTTTTGAGTTAGGAGAAAGAAAGGGATTTGTTGATTATAGTTTAAACTTAAAATAGGAAGTGGCCATTTGAAAGAGGCTTGCAGTGGACGGTGGGCAGATGTCTGAATGGGCTTGAGAGACCGTCATGGTGGGCTTGCAGGGAAAATGAAGAACGTCCAGGGAAATGATTGCTGAGACTCTCTCTCTCTCTATCTCTCATCTCTCTCCCCTCTCTCCCCTCCCCGCCCAACATAAAATCTTTCAGGAAATTGCCACATCTCTTTAGCCTGTAGTTTCTGGCAACCTGTATACTACTATTTAATATTTGTTTTACGTTGAGGACACAGACAGAAAATTGGATCTTTCCTTTATCCAAGACCAAGTTTTGATTCTTTCAATTTAGATTGCAAGCAGGTGCCTATGGAGTGAAAACCTCAGTGTGAGATCAGAGCCAAAAGTTATGTCACACAGCAGATTATATTACTCAAAGAACATAAGGTATATCACCCCTTCAAATGTGCATTTACCTCTTAGTCACAAAGAAGGGGATGTTTTAGACCTCAAAATGAAATACCCTTGGTATCATAATAAATCAATGAAATTATTAAAGGGAGCTGTAGCCGGGCGCGGTGGCTCACGCCTGTAATCCCAGCACTTTGGGAGGCCGAGGCGGGCGGATCACAAGGTCAGGAGATCGAGACCACGGTGAAACCCCGTCTCTACTAAAAATACAAAAAATTAGCCGGGCGCGGTTGTGGGCGCCTGTAGTCCCAGCTACTCGGGAGGCTGAGGCCGGAGAATGGCGTGAACCCGGGAGGCGGAGCTTGCAGTGAGCCGAGATCGCGCCACTGCACTCCAGCCTGGGCGACAGAGCGAGACTCCGTCTCAAAAAAAAAAAAAAAAAAAAAAATGGAGCTGTAGACATGAATTATTAAAATATTCCACTTAACTATTTTTGGAAGGAGGGGAGGGGGTCATACTCTATTTGAGAAACTTTAAAAATAAGTGGAGCTGTATTAAGACTTCCATGTTTGTAATAATTTTAAGACTTTGAGATAAACTGCATTTTGTCAGCCAATACTACAGAAAGTTCTCTTTTCAGTAGGTGCTTACAAAATGTACTTTTTCCCAGATGTCATGTTTCAAGGTAATACTGAGTTTGCATATGTATGTAAGGAAAGTTAAAACAGAAAGGCCTCAATTTTAATGACATCAACTCCTTTATGGTTCCTTTTGGAATTGCTTTTTTTTTTTTTTGGTAATAGAATTAAGAACAATAAAGCCTCGATAAGTTTTTAAATGAGTGAGAGCCAACAACGTCTGTGCTTGGCCATGTTGATGGTTCAAATTTTACTTTTTTATGAATGTGTAAACCTAAACATAGTAATCAATTGCTCTGAGTTTGTCATGTGTCCAGTTGTGTGGAATATGCTTGGGCCGTGATGCAAGATGAGTCATGTAATCTGGAAGTAAGCTGTGTAGACACAAGGTCATTTTAGTAGACGTTCTCTTTTTATTGAGTGCACTTCAGAATAGGTGGCTAGGAAGCAAGGCTGTAAAGGAAAGTTGATCCAAACGATTCTATCCAACTTCTTTATACATGCTAAAACCCAAGTGCTCATCCTAAAGAAATATTTTGGTTCTTATCTATTTGTGATCTATTTTTTCTGTATTATTAGGTGATACTCTTCCTCCTTGCTGTGAAAAAAAATCCAATACTTAAAAAAATATGAAATTCATTATATCCTCAGTACCACTATAGGCCTGCTGTGAATTTCTAAGAATTCATTTAAATAGCCTATACGTTACCAGATTTTTTTTTCGATGTATATAACAGAGAAAAACAAAATGCGTTAAAATTAACTTCATCTTAATACTTAGTTCAGATGAACTGGTCATACATAAATGGAAATTGTTAGTAGTTCAAAGATGTTGTAGTTAACTTCTTTAAAGAAACAGATTGAGAAGCTTTTGTTGTAGTTAACTTCTTTAAAGAAACAGATTGAGAAACTTTCCGCTAGTATCAAAATGTATTCATTACTTTGAATGACAGTTCTTATTTGTTCATTTGCTTATATGCTCTCTTTCATCTGCGAATTTTTTCTTTTATACCCTGTGTCATACAGATCCCCTCTAATGCAGTTTCTGGTTATGTTGGTATAGATAATTTATTCTTAAGAATCTAGCAGTATTTGGCAGCCCTGAGACGTGAAAAGCTTCTATTATGAAATTTAATTTGGTTATTTTTTCTTAGTCTTTCGAACAATTTTTTGGATTCTTGCAATTGAATTTCCAGTGTTTTAAAAATATATCTGTTAAAAGTGTATTTGCAGTAATTCACCATTTCTATTCTGACATTTTTAGAAATCTGAAAAGTTCTCCCATTGCTATATACATTTTCTTTAATGCTATGGGCTTATTGTTATTATTATCATTTTTTAGATGGAGTCTCACTTTGTCACCCAGGCTGGAGTGCAGTGGTGCGATCTCAGCTTAGTGCACCCTCTGCCTCCCGGGCTCAAGTGATTCTCCTGCCTCAGCCTCCCAAGTAGCTGGGATTACAGGCACCCAGCTATGGGCTTACTGTATACTTGTTTGCCCTTTTTCTGAATTAGGAAAAATGATCTAATCTTTAAAAGACTTTCTGATGCATGCTTTTCTCTATTTCCATTGTTTTATACTACTCTTCATTCAGTTCCTTTGCAACCTTTTGCTACTTTCAACACTTGCTTGGCTCTCATTATGTCAGTCCTGGAGAAAATGACTTTTGTTCTTTTGAAACACAGAAGTATGTAACATGATACATTCTGGTGGCCTTTTCCCCCAGAAGAAATAGATAGCCAAGTGGCTTAATTTTCATATTCAAGCTGATACTCAGAGGAAAAGTATGTCTTTGGGTTAATTTACCTCTGTAAAGTATAGAAATCTTTACAAATTATTGCTTTTTCTTATTTTTGTTCTTGGGGTGATCACGTTTCAAAATTTAAATTAAACACCTGGTGATGGAGCAAAGCTTTGTTTATTTCCATAGGACATCTAGGTTTTAGTATTAGCTTTGCAGCCTTCCTTCATACCTGGAGAGAACGTGTTGAACATCACTACCTTAACTTGCCCATGTCAAAGAGTTAGAATTTCTTGCAGTTTAATAGATTGTCTGGATGTCTTGATGGAATGTTTGAGAGATAGTCATTAAATGCTTGTGTGTCAGGTTCAGTGTTGGGGAGCTGGGAAGGTGAAGAAGAATGAGCCTTCCAAGAGATTGGCCTACTGTGCTCTGAAGGAAATATGTAGTATGAGTTATGGTCATTGATTTAGTAAATGTTTACTGAATGCTTCCTCTGTGTTGGACATTCATCAGTGCTTCCCAACAGGGCACTATTGGCATTTTGGGTGGACAGTTCTTTGGTGTGCGGGAATGGCCCACATGTTGCAGAACCTTTGGCATCCTTGCCCATTATATTCTAGTAGTCTCAGTCATGCGACATCAAAAAATTATAACTCCCATCCCCTGTGCACACTTCCAAATGCTTCTAATTGAAAACCACTGCTCTAAGTACTGTTATGGGTATTTAAAAACATGCAAATGTTTGATTTTAGATAGTTTCCACAAAGGGTTTAAAGTCAGGAGAAAAGAGAGTGTAGAGAAGCACTGGTGAAATTAGAGTCAAAACAGAAGAAGAGTTGTTTATTATTGGTAAATAAAAATTTATTGTTATTAAAATTTCCTTTCTAGGAAATATATTTAAGTCCGTCTCTGAAATATTTAGCACACCTAATGAAATCTTACACCAAATTCAGTAAGTTCATGGAATAAAAGATTCAAGGTCCTTCAACCACGTTACATCAAGCAGAACCTCAGGTCACTTTGTACATGAATACTAACATGGACAACGAAAGCATGCTGTTGAATTTTGTTTCCCAGAGATGGTTAAAAACATTACACTGACATATAAGTTGGTGTAATTTACCAGAGCTTTTTGGCTATCTGGAATATATTTCAAATATCTTTATGAAGTTTACTAATTTTACATACCACTGTGACCTGCAAACAAGTCAACAAAAGTTCAGTAGAAAAGATAACAATGGACAGTTTATATGACTATAATGGAGCTAATTGCTCTTGGAGCCTCTTAACGATTATGTGTAAGAGGCAAAGTTATGGCAGGTCGTATCTTTT